GGTAATAAGCAAAAAATTATATACACATAATATTTGAGTATTTGTGCATGTTGTGAAAGTAAGAATAGGGAGAATTCAGAACTAAACTTGCTGGAGCTCACACATAACCAAATATTTGATCTTCTATATAGAGCTGCTGCAGTTTCTGTATATAGAGTTCCAACAGTTTCTACTGTATATATTCAATACATAGAATCCCTTTTTTCTAACGTAGCTGGAGTCAGCCCTCAGTTAGAAACCATATACACAAATGTGTTTATAAATGCACACAGTGTTTTAATATTGTTCCAAATAAATTATATCTTGCAAACAGTACAGACTCCAGCTGTGTATCAATGGCAAAGCAGTAAAGATATGAGAAATTAATTTACACCTCATGTTTTATAAATACCCTAGTCAATATATTTAAAATTCATTATCCCTCTTTGCTTCTAAGTGTTGTATAGCAATTTATTTTTCAAGGACACTGACAAAAATATTATTACAGTGTTTTATTTAATTGAAATTAGAATAATCAAAAACATATAACATATACTATAGTTACACATATTTGAACAGGAATATGAGTGGTTGAAAGTAGAAACAGATAAATATCTTCTTTTTCTTCTGATATTGTGGTTAAATTGTTAGGATTTATATGGTTTGAATAGTAATGTTTCTATGCAACTATTCTGTAACATTCACAAATTGAGTATGGTTTGATTTATTTTACTATTATAATGTTCCAGTTATTAGAAACAATATGAAGACATCCTATTATTCATTGTTATAGAAGACCATTTCCTTAGTTCCAATAGTTTAATAATATGTTAATGTAAACATTTTTTTACGATCAAAACTTCTGCACTTTCTTTAAGTAACTTACAAAACAGGAATGTCAAATCACACAAAAGGGAGTATACTGTACTTTAGTGAGATACAGTAACATACTAGAGAGATACAGCACTCAGTTTGACCTAAAGAGAAAAATGTCTAATAATAATTAGGAAAAAACATAAAATGTGATTGTTGTTAAATGATCCTGTTTTATTCAATATACAACAATAACATTAGATATTTGGTAAAATCTTCTATTATTATACAAGCTTATATAATTCTTTTTGCATTTTATTCTTTTTATTGAACTTAATCAACCCATTTAATTAAAACCATCACCAATTTAATGGCCCAGTAAATGTTAAAATATTTTTCGATCAGTGATACAAGCTAGATGGGCTGCATGGTGGTTCAGTGATTAGCCTCACAGTGCCGGGGCCCTGGGATCAATTTCTGGGGAGGTATCTGTGTTGAGCTTGCATGTTCTCCCTGTGTTCTTGTGAATTTCCTCCAAGTACACCAGTTTCCACCCACAGTCCAAGCATATACTGGTAGATTAATTGGCTTCTGGGAAAATCTGCCCTGTGTGTGTCCTGTCCTGCAACAAACTGGCATCCCATCCAGGCTGTATCCAGCCTTACCTGTTGCTTGCTAGGATAGGTTCTTGCTCCCCAATGATCGAGCATTGGATAAAGCAGTTAGAAAAAGTGGGATGGATGGAGATAATACATCAAGGCATGATGTATAGTGTGATTTTGTAGTTTGGTGACTTGAAGCTCCATGTTGCTCAATAGTGGAGATCAATTTTGGCAGAACTGGTTGCCTTGTGCCCATTGCTTGTGTAGTGGAGCTAATTCGGATACGGTGACATCATCACCCTCCCTGAGCATAGCAGGGACCTCAGCTGCCAGGACTGAGGGAGGTCTCCTTTAGCTCATGCAGCTGGTTCCCTGTTGAGTTACGTTGGAGACCCAGGTTCGGGCCCCAGGTGTTGAGGGACAAAATGGGTGGCGGAGGGCACAAGCCTGTGCAGAACTGTGACGGTCACACTTGCCACTTAAATTCCCCACAACCCTATACTGGACAAAGTGGTTAGAAAATGAATAGGTAATATAAAGCTAGGCTTTTTCAATTT